CTTTTTTAATTTATTTTTAAAATTAATTTATTTTGATTTATCAACAATAACTTCCATAAGCTTTTGAGTTTCAAATTTTTCTCCCTCAACTTCCTGCCTCTTTCCCCAAAATAGCACACAGTCTGATATAGGCTATACGTATACATTCCTATCAAACATATTTTCACATTAGTAATGTTGTAAGGAAGAATTAGAACCAATAGGAGGAACCACAAGAAAGAGAAAACAAAACAAAAGTTTTGTTTTATCTCTTTTAATTAGATCTATTTTTGCTTTTGCTTTGTCTGAGATCAGGATTACTAACCCTGCTTTTTTTTTGTTTCAGCTGAAGCATAATATATTCTACTCCAGCCTTTTACCTTTACCATGTGTGTATTCCTGTGTTTCAAATGTGTTTCCTGTAAATAACATATTATAGGATTATGGTTTTTAATTCATTCTGCTGTCAGCTTCCATATTAGGGCAGAGTTCATCCCATTCACATTCACAGTTATGATTAGTGTCTGTGTCTTTATCTCCATCCTATTTTCCCCCTTTTTATGCTTTTCTTTCTCCTTTCTCCCTTTCCCTCCTCACTACATTTTTACTTTTGACCACTACCTCTCTCAGTCTGCCCTAGCATTTTGACTCCACCTTTAGTCTACACACACATAGTTATAAAAGCTGGTTATGTGAAATAAATTCTTTTTATATGACAAATCCTGTTTTGTCTTCTTAATGTGTTTATAAAAATGTTCTTTTTAATGTTTAAATTCATCATTTAAAAAAATTAAATCAAATAAGGAATAATATATGCTTACCCAAACAAACAAGTAAGTAAAGAGATGGATATTGTAGAACATTAAAGTAACACATTCTCACATGACTATGCATTTCTATAATAAGTAAATTAATTCGAGTTAATATGAATTATTAACCTTAGATACTAATCTTGGCAACTAGTTCAGTTGGTCAGGGAGGGATGCTTGTAAGTCTTAGATTCATAAATTGGGCCTTATTAAAATTCATTTTTCTTTATACAGTGAAATAATATTCTAAATCTATTGAATCCCAACCCTGGTGAACCATCTTGAAATTTTGGTCCATTGACTTTGATAAAGGCCAGATGAAAGACTATGAATGGGTTAAACACATTATATTACATTATATTATATTATACTATACACCATATTATATAATATACTGTATTATGTAAAATGTATATTATGTAATATCCATTTTCCTTGATTTCAGATACCATGTTTTATTTATCATGTCTTTTGCTCAGGATATATAACAAAAGTTTTGTACATAGTGATCACTCAATAAATGTCAATAAATTATGTGAGTGTAGGGAGGCATCTAAGTTTTAGTGACATATTAGTGTAATTGAATTCAACTCTTTCTATTAGCCAAAATATGGTGGTTCCATGTAAAGTTCTTAGGAAAATGAGTGTATTTCCTTAATATTTAGTTCTTTACAAAAGGCTATATCTATGTGACTGGCAAATAAATGTCATTCCTAAAGGAGTATCTTTTTCCAAATATTGTATTTACATAAACACATGCACACAAACACTCTGAATGAAAGTCAAGGAAATAGACAAACTTGAATGAGCAATGTAAATATTAAAGCAGTAGAGTATTAAATATAAAGCCAATTGAACTATTCTAAGAGAAACCCCATAGATTTTTTCTTTTTTTTTAAAAAGAGAACTAGCTACTTCTAACACTATATCCCAAAGAGATCACACAAATGGGAAAAGGACCTACATGTACAAAAATATTCATAGCAGCTCTTTTTGTGGTGGCAAAGAATTGGAAATTGAGAGGATGCCCACCAGTTGGGTAATGGCTGAGCAAGTTGTGGTATATGAATGTGATGGAATACTATTGTGCTATAAGAAATGATGAACAGGCTGACTTCAGAAAAACCTATAAAGACTTGTATGGGCTGATGCTGAGTGAAGTGAGCAGAACCAAGAGAATGTTGTACACAATCACAGCGATGTTGCGTGATGACTAATATTGATAAACTTAACCCTTCCTGGCAATACAAGGATCTAAGACATCTCCAGAGGCCTTGTGATGGAAAGTGCTATCCACACCCAAAGAAAGAACTATGGGAGCCGAATTGCTAATTTTTTTCTCTTCTGTTGAGTTTTGTTTCCTCTTTCTGATGGTTCCTCCTATTGGTTTTAATTTCTACTTACAACATCACCAATGTGAAAATATGTTTAATATGAATGTAAATGTATAGCCTATATCAGATTATGCACTGTTTTGGGGAGGGTGGTGGGGAGGAAGGGGGAGAAAAATTTTAAACTCAAAAGCTTATGGAAGTGATTATTGATAAATCAAAATAAATTAATAAAAAAAAGAGAAAAGAGAAGAGGGCTGAGGACAGAACCCTGAGGGACATCTATTTTTAGAGGGCATGTTATAGATAAGGATCCAGCAAAGGAGACTGAGAAGGAATGGTCAGAAAGGTACAATATCTTTCCTAATTGTGGCCCCCTCTAAAGAACACAAAGGTTGACCAGGGCTGACTATGATGGAACAGTTGTCTACTTATTCCTGGAAGCTGTGTCTTTCTCAGACTGACTCCAAATCCTTGCCTCATCCCAAGGTAGAGAAAAGCTTAATTGTTACTCTTCCAAAAAAAAAAACAAAAAACGAAGAAATACTTACTGATAGAATTGAAAGCAGTAAGAGACAGGTGAAGGGCAGGACTTTCTTTTGGTAGTGATGGGGATGCGACTGACTGGGCCTGCTTGAACCATACAGTAGACAGGTGATCCCTTAATATTAGGTGGTGAAATGGATGGAGTGATAGACTCCGACTTAGGAAGACCTGAGTTCAAGTCCTGACTCACCTTACTTACTGGCTGTGTGACCTCAGGCGAGTCACTTAAACTTTCTCTTCCTCATCTGTAAAATAGGAATTATAATAGCATCTATCTCACAGGATTGTGCTGAGGACCAAATGAGATAATATATGTAAAGAGCTTTGCTAACCTTAGAGCACTATATAAATGCTAACTAAAAAACTCACATATATACACACACACGCGTAACATGTATATGATTTGGATATATTAATGAGTTAAAATATATACTTGTAGATTATAATATGTGACATCTATGCCTGTATGTGTTTATACATACACATATATATATAAAAGAGAACTAGCTGTAGCATAGCAAACGTCATTCAAAGGTTAGAGAGTTTGATTTTAGTAACTCTTAAGGTCTTAGATCGAGAGGTGGAAAATGACCTTAGAGGTCATCTCACTGACCCCTCTACCTTTACAGATGAGGAAAGTGAGTCCAGGGAGGTTAAGACCAGTGGCCATGACAATGATGAATAGTAAGACAATCTTCAGATTAAAGTTTAAAAGACTTTATTTTTCAGTAATGTCCAAATCTTCATGACCATACTTGGTTTTTTGTTGTTGTTGGTTTTTTTTTTTGGAAAACTACTGGAGTGGTTTGCCATTTCCTTCTCCAGATCATTTATTGATGAGTAACCTGAAGCAAACGGGGTTAAGTGACTTGCCCAGGGTCACATTGCTAGTAAGTGTCTGAGGACAGATTTGAACTTGGGAAGATGGGGCTTCCTGACTCCAGGCCTGGCACAGTATCCACGATGCTTCCTAACTGCACTAAAATACTTCCTATGCTTTAATTAATTTTTACTCAAAGTTTCATTTTTCTTATGCTTTTCCCCCCTGCAACTTTAGATTGACTGTTACAGAATTACCAGGTCAGCAATGTCAGAAAGAGTCAAATTTGCAAAACAAAGTTAATTCCCTGCAAAATGAGAGATTGGTTTTGAAATTATGAAGATAATTGTCTTCCCTCCCCCCATTTTAAAGTACATCTTAATGTGTGTTGATTCCCACTGAGCAAATCTATTTTCAAAACAGAGATTATTTAAGATTTGGCCCATTTTCCATGTCTGCTCAAATGTGCCAGAGATCTGTTTTCTATGAGACGTATGTCTGTTTCAGCTTATTTTTGTGATTATGAGTAGTTTATTATCCAGATATGGTTTTAAAATAGAATATTTTCTATTGTACAGCACATATTTTGGAATGGAAATATATATGTATATGGATACATGTACATATGTATTCATATACATTTATATACATACATGCATATATACATATACATATACACATATATGCAATGCAATATAACACTGGGAACACAATTGAATAATACATATTGGGGAGAGGGGAACAAGAAGACAAGATTTTATCTGAACTGAGGAAGTAGGAGGATGCAGCATCTTGAAATGCTAATTTGATTCCTTTGGTTTAATGTTGTTGTTGTTTTTAATGTAGTGAATTGATCATTAACCTTTACACTGCTCACTCATATCTGTCTACGTCTCTGATTTTATTATTTATTTTGTGAATAGTGTCTTGAGGTTCTGACTTGTGCTTTTTGATTTCTATGTCTAAAGATCAGGGGTGTGAACTTCCTGGGGGGTACTTTTTATGTTTAAAATTGCTCAGAGTTTCCATCTGCTTTTACTTGATTTGTGGTCTTGAAGATCACGCTTGGCCCATGGGATATTGCAGTGTGCCGAGAGGATGTGGAGTTTTGTCAGCCAGTGAAATATGTCTGGATTTTTTTTTTAGCAGCTTTCATATGCTTCTCGTCCTGTGTGGTCCCCACAAACCTGAATTTATATTTTACTGAACTGCTTACCCTCTTTATCTTCCTCTATGACTTAGTCTTTTCTAAAGAGAAGGTGTGTGAAGAGTGCATGTGAGCCAAAAAATTATAATCCTGGCTCCAAGAGCATTTATAGCCAAGAAAGTTAAAAAAAGTGTTATGTGTGATGTGCTTCAGGACATTAAAATGTCTGTCTTTTGGGTGTCCTGAATCTAAGATTTCTGATATGCATGAATGTTGAAGTTAATTTTCAGGGTGTCAGAATTTTCTCATACCAGCTGGGGACTTCAAATAACTTCTCTGTACAAATTCCCTTTTTTGCTTGTTTTCAGGCATTACTGCAGACTACAGTTAAGCAGCAAGAAGAATCTATTGAAAAACAGTATATCTCTGCCATTGAAAAACAAGCTCGCAAGTGTGAGGAGTTGCTTAATGCTCAGGTAATAAAAATTCACAGCCCCATATGCACACATTGTTATTCTCCTTGATCTGTCCTCTTCTCCTCCCCTTGGCAGTCCCCTGTATAAATTTATAGGCATCTGTTTTCATGACGCTTTCTCAGGTTGTTTTTCATTTTTTTCTTCTGGAAAAATAAGTTCTAAGTTAAATTGGGTACTTTTCATGATATACTTACAGTAATATCAGCGTTCTATATAATATATGTGAGTCAAAATAATAAATGATGATCCTGATTGTTAACTTTGTTATTTACTAAATTGTGTAAAGAGGACATGAAAAAAAATTAAGACAACTAAGGTAGTTTTTAGTGTTTTTGTTTTTAGATAGAATCATATTTAAAATTTATTTAGAATTTTTAAGGACACAAACTTATTTTTGGCTTCTAATTCTCAGAGTTATTTGTTATTGTTGTTGTTTATTTAGTTGCATAGTTTTTGTCTGAAAGATTGTTTCCTGGGTTTAATATTTTATAAAGTTTAAAGTTCCAACTGACTATACATTTGTTATATAAGCTAAACAACTTTTATGAATATATAATAATCATTGTGTGTAATATAGTAAGAACCTTCACAAGCAGTTTGGAGAAAAGTGACTTGATAGATGAAAATTGTCACTGTGAAAGAGTGATTTCTTTTTAGTGTGTAATCTTAAAGAACAAACAGAAGAGAGGGGTCAGTGAAGACTTCCTTGTCCAAAGAAATATGAAAAGTGGAGTTTCTCAAGAATTGGTTGGACCTGGTCATAAGTAATATTGTCATAATGTTTCTATGAGTAATCTGAAAAAGGAAACACACAACAAAATCTCCTCCTTTGAAGATGACATTCACTTTTTAGATGGTAAAATGCCAAGCTTACAGGGATAAACTCTACAAATATTTAGCAAGCTATATGAATGGACAGAAAAAAATAACAGATGTGCTACAGTCCAGACAAGAATATGGTAATACTCTAATTAATATGTCTATTAATGTAAATAGGTATTGTGCAACATTATTATTATAGTTTGTGCTATATGTAAGTTATTATACAATTATAATATGTGTTTTGAATGTGCACTTCCCTAAGGGCCAATGATTCTTCAGCCTGTTAATGCAAAAAATTTAGGGGCAGCCATCTCCAGAGTTTGTTTGGGACAAGTGTGAAATGGCCTATAAATGACTTAGAATTAGAATAATAGAATTATTAGCTTCTGAGTTTGGAAGAAATCTTAGAAATCATCTCTTTTCACTCATACCTAATAAGTTAATCCATTTCAAGTAGACAATATCAAATGAAGATCAGTTGAAATACTAAGACTATTTAGCCTGAAAAGAAAAATCTAAGGGAGGAAATATTTCTCTCTTCTGATATTTGTAGTAAGGTAATATGGAAAAGAGATCAAGCATTTTGCATAGTTGATGAGGATATAACTAGGACCAATGGGCATGTTAGTTATTATTGGTAGTAATAGCAGCTATAGTAGCAGTCTAGCAGCAGCAGCAGCAGCAGCAGCAGTACTATTAGTAGTAGTACTAGTAGTAATATTCACTAACAGAAAGAGCATACTAACATTCAAAATTGTTTGCAAATTGCTTGCCTCAGGAGTTAGTGAATTATCTTTCACTGGAGGTCTTGAAGTGGAAGCTGGATAACAACTGGCTAAGAATGTTGTAGAGGGAGTTCTGTCAACTGTTGCAGCCTTCTGTTTACTGGAATTAGAATAGAATTGTAAGAGAAGTTAATCATTTATTTGAAATAGAATTCTGTAAATTCTGTTTAATTCTGTTTGCCAGTTAGACTGTCACCTTCTTGAGATGAAAAACTGACTTTTGTATTCCCATTGCTTAGCATAGTGCCTGGTACCTAGTAGGCACTTAAATGAATGACTGCTCAAATCTTCCAGTTTTAATCATCATACTGGGGAAACTAGAAATCTGGCAAAAATTAGTGAAAACAGGGTTGTGTTATAGCTCGGTCCCACTGATTGTTAAATTTTCAATGTGAGCATTTACATCTAGAAAATTAGCAAATGTTACAAAGTAGGGCCTAATTTCTTGTTTTGTTGTTTGCCTAGACTTAAGAAAGTAGAGAACATGTTAATAATGCAGATTTAACTTAGAAGTGTATTATATATACATATTTTCCTCTGGAGAGCCAGTTAAAAATTCCCAACAAACTCTTGGGTAATAGTAATAATAGTAGTAGTAGTTAACACTTATATAGCATTTTCTATGTACCACTTAATCTACTAAGTGCTTTACAAATATTATCCCATTTGATACTCACGATAAGGTTGGTGCTGTGATTACCCCCATCTTATGGGTGAGGAAACTGAGGCAAACAAAGGTTTTATGACTTGTCAAGTGTCACAGAGCTACTAAAGATCTGCGGTCATATTTGAACTCAGGTGTACGTGACTCCAGCCTCAGCATTCTATCCATCTAGCTGCCTACCATATAGTAACTGAGATAAACTCCAAATGGATACAACTTAGATATGAAAGGTGAAATCGTAAGCAAATTAGAAGAAAAAGGAAGAATTATTTTTCAAATAGTTTATGACCAACTAAGTGGTAGAGATAAACACAAAAGATAAAATAGATAATTTTTATTATACAAAATGTTAAGGTTTTTGTACGAGCAAAACCAATGAAATTACAATTAAAAAGGAAAGCAAGTAACTGGAGGAAAATATTTGTAAAAAGTTTTGTTGTTTTTTTTTTTTGTTTTTTTACTGATAAATGTCTCCTTTCCAAAATATATAAGAAACTGATCCAAATTCCTAAGAACAAAAACTATTTCCTAATAGTTAAACAAAGGCTATGAATAGGAGGTTTTCAAAGGAAGGATATAAGCTATCAACAATCATATGAAAAAATGTACTTCAAATCACAAATATTTAGAGAAATGCAAATTAAAGCAATACTGAGGTTCTACCTCACACTCAACTGATTGGCAAATATGACAAAAGAGGAAAAAGACAAATGTTGAAGGGGCTGCAAGAAACCCAAAATAGACACTGTTGTTGTAACTATGAATTGACCCAGCTATTCTTAAAAGGAATTTGAAAGTATGCCTAAAAAGGCACTAAACTTCTCATACTCCTTTATCCAGGAACACAACTACTATACATTTAATCCCCAGAGATCAAAGAAATAGGAAAAATATTGTTGTCTACAAAAATATTTATAGAAGCTCTTTTCATAGCAACAAAAACCTAGAAACTTATGAGGTATCCAACATTTGGGAAATGACTAAACAAAATATCTTTCATGAATATAATGGAATATTATTGGGCAATGAAGAATTGAGAAATAATGAGACAGATGGAGACCTCTATGAAGTGATGCAGAATGAAGTAAGCAGAACCAGGAGGATAATTTATATGATGAAAACATTTAAAAAGAACAACTTTGAAAGGCTTGAGAACTCTGATGTGTCTTAATGACAAACCATGATTCCAGAGAACCAAATATAAACCTTGTTACCCACCTCCTGCCAAAGAGAAAATGGACTCAAAATGCAGAATGAGACCTGTGTGTTTAGACAAGGCCAATTTGCTTCACTTAACTGTGTCAAATCAATTCAAACCAATAGTAATTTATTGTGTCAGGCACTCTGCAAAGCATTAGGGATACAAAGAAAGGCAAAAATAGTCCCTTCTCTCAAAGAATTCTTAGTCTAATTGGGGAGACCACATCCAAACAACTATGTACAAATAAGATAGGATTCAGTAATTTTTTAGTCATTTCCAACTTTTGGGGATTTTTTGGGATCTCATTTGGGATTTTCTTGGCAGAGATATTAGAATGGTTTGCCATTTCCTTATCCAGCTCATTTTACAAATGAGGAAACTGAGACAAACAGGGTTAAGTGACTTGCCCAGGATCACACACTTAGTTAATGTTTGACGCCACATTTAAATTCAGGAAGAGGAATCTTCCTGACTCCTCTTACAAGTCTGGCACTGTGCCACCTAATCACGGAAGGAAGGCCACCAGCCTTAAGGAGGATCACAGATGGCTTCTTGAAGAAAGTAAAATTTTATCTTGGACCTGAAGAAACCCAGAAAAGTCAGAAAGTGGAGTTGAGGAGGGAGAGAATTCCAGGCATGGGAGAAAACCAATGAAAATGCAAAATTAGGATATATATTGTCATATGGAAAGAACAGCAAACAAGCCAGTGTGACTGGATGTCAGAATATATGGGGCTTAAGGGGCAGCTGTATAAGAAGACTAGAAAGGTAGGACAGAGCCAGGTTATAAAGGGCTCTGGTCATCAGAAGAGTTTATATTTGATCCTGGAAATGATAGGAAACCACTGAAGTTTATTAAATTAGGGGAAGAAGGAATAGTGACATGTCAGACCCATTTTTTATGAAGATCAATCTGACAGCTGAGTGGAGAGAGACTTGGAACCAACTAGAAAGCTATGGCAGTAGTCTGAGTGTGAGGTGATCATGGTTGTGTCAGGGTTTTATTAGTGTCAAAGAAGAGATAATTAAGCTCACTTTTATACATGCTGAGTATAAGATGTCTATAATACATCCAGTTTTGAGATGTCCAATATACAGTATATTTGTTACAAGTATTTTATTTTTATTTTTGTGTCAACTGGTGCAGGGAGTAGGTGACAGGGAAAAGAAATCATTGTTAATTTGAAAAATTATAAGATAATTATTTAAAAGGAAAAAATAACTAATTTTGGGGAAGAGTAAGAATCTATCTACAAAACCTTCTTTGATCAAAAACAGATGTTCTTCTCAATTGAGTGCACTGCCCATTTAAATAATGCAAAAGTTTTCTTCCAGAAGTCAGAAATTTATAACCGAACCTATATCTTTAATGGGTTAAGTGATATAAGAAACAAAAAGATGTCTTTCATTTATTCATTCAATAAGCATTTGTTTAGAGCCCCTGATTCTGATCCTCATGATACAAAAACAAGCAAGAAACAGTCTCTGGCCTCAAGGAACTGAAATTCTATTGGAGGAACTAATATGA